CTTATACAGAGAATTAAGGACAAGCACATTAACAGAAATATTTCTTTCCTCTTTGTTGAGGTGGCAGCTAAGTACCATTAGCCCACATTCTGCTCTAGAAGACCACAGTTGGGATATCTGCCATGAGATCTGCAGTCTGACATTAGAAACCATCCTGATACAGGATCTGTTGCAAACCTGCTCACAGGGCTGTACTGAGATGCCTGGGCATTTCCTGAGAACACCAAGTCTCTGCAGAGGCTCTCAACATAACCTTAACAGCCCATGGTGTGGATAGCAGCAGATCTGGTGCTGAGGCCCAGCCTGGATGGGTGCTTTGTTGGATGCATGTCCTCTTTACTAAGCTCTCTACACTGTGCAGCTTACAGAATGAAAATACTTTATGGATTATTAATGCCATTGCTGCTATTAAGAATAAATAAGGGTTATAGAGAGAGCATCATGACAGAATCCTGGCCTTATTTGAAGGGAGGAAGAAAAGCATGGGAGTGGTCCCATTGAAGGGAAGATCTGTCAGTAGCACAGAGAGCTAGAGGTTTGCAAAAGCTGGGCTGGACCACGCTTCTCTATGCTCTGTAATGCCCTGAACCAGAGGGGCACACTCACACCACTGGTCCCCACTCACTCACTCCTCTTCAGTAAGTTATAGAGCCCAAACATTTCTCATTCCAAGACGTTGCAGAGCTCAGGATGTCCCAGTCAGTAACCAATACGTAAGCACCCAGGAGGAACCAACCAAAAGGAATCACTTCCCATTTTCAGCCCATGCACCCATGTTTTTTTCTCGCTCTTTCGGTACCTGAGGAAGATAAGATAGTTTGCATTAGCACTGATGCCTCCAGTATGCTTCCTCCCTGTGTTATCCTTGCAACTGTTGGTGGGCTCAAGAGACACAGGGCCAAAACCCTCAGAGACAGATTTTTTTCTAAGAGGAGAAGGTGTTGCCCATTACTTACTCTACATTGCTTCCCATGGAGCAAAGTTAGGCAGCCTGCATCGACTCACTGACAACTCCCTGCTTTCACTAGGATCTCACCAATGAGGCTTGGGCCAGCTCTTTCCAGCGTGCACATTTTAAGCAAGAGACCTCAATCCATAACAAGGGACCTGAATGCAGCATCCAAGTGTGAAAACATTGGCCGCTGTCCCATTTACTGAAAGAGGAATATTAGTACCAGCTCACCTCTGGGAAGCATATGGAGCACCTCCGATTTATTATTTGTTTTATTTATTTTGTCACATTTATCAGCCATTCAACTCTCCGGGCACACAGCCCATACATTAAAACCCAGAGTATAATATAAAGATCTCCTCTATTGTGAGCACATCCTTTCTGAAAAACCAGGCATGGCCATGAGGGAAGGATGAAGGATGCATTACACATGCAAAATATGACAACAATATATTTTTCTCCAATTCTGTTATTGATAGAACCATTCTGAAAATGTTGGTGACATCAAAACAATAGGATGAGGGCAATAAAAAGCAGGAGGGTGGAAAGCCATGCTGGAGGTTGGGCATCTAGACAGCCTCTAATCAGTCTCTCTCATGCTCAGGAAGTCCCTAAAATGCTCTTACCATTATTATTTCTCTAATGACCTCATCAGACACACGTGAAATTCTGAGAAGCCTTAAATGTTGTAGAGATCCACAATGGCAAATCTGCCCAGTTTTTCTGAGAAACAGCAAGCTGCGATGATGAATGCTTTAACACTGCAGCATCTCGATGTGTAATTTATTTGCTGGAAATTAATTGCATATGCTGGTTTCATTTTTCTGTAGCAAATAATCAGTTTTGCTCCCTTTTTAATTAGGTAGCAACATAGATTCCTCTGCTGATCATGGCACAGTGGTTTACACATCACATCTTATTCTAAGGGAGACCATTTCAAATCATTGTTCAGGACCTACCACAACTTTTGGGTGGCATCACATTCTCTGTCAGCTCTAACTCCTGAGTCAGTACTGATGAAGACCCCATGCACCCACCATCTAGAGAACCCAATCTGGGTTTTGGTGGATGTTATACATCTGCCATATGGGAGCTGGAAGAAACTCTACAGAGAAAACAAATTAAGGATCCTGAAATTTCAATGGTGTTGACGTGATGTCAGGCCCAGGCACTGCTTTGTTTCACCAAAAAGTGTGTCCCATGGGCGGATATTCACTGATCCTTGAGCTAAGACACTGGATTGACATTAGCAGAACTTCATAGACTAGAAGCTTCCACATCATCTGTGCCATTAATGGGTTTGGTCCACATCAAACCAGCACCTTTGCCAACTGGAAAGGCTGGAGCAGCAGGACAAAGCCCCAGCTGAGAGCTCATTTTCCCCTTATATTTGGCAGCTGAACAGGGCTGTCTGGCACACAGGACAGGACAAGGTGGGGAAAGCCACCTCTGCTGACATTTGCAGGAGAAAGCTAATGGACTGCAGCAGCTGCTACTTAAAATTTTCAAGTAGGCTGACGAGAATAAGAAACTATGAGGTTTGGCTGCTATTGGTTACTCTCAGCAATAATTTCTATCTTAATTAATTCTAATTAAGTGATAGTGTTCAGTCATATTTACCCTTTATTGGGCTACAAGGAGCCCATATTTCTACTGAAATATGCGCGACCGAAACAAAACAAATCTATCAGTGAACGAACGCTGCTGGGGTGAAATGAAAAATATTGATTATCATCGCTATTAAACCATGAAATCCTCCGCAACTAATTAATCTGCCAGGGAAAAAGTTTGTTAGCGGCATTTCTGCTTCCTGCCGGCAACCTGACAAGCAGGAATCACCAAACACTCGATGGCTACCACCTGCCCCTGAAAGTTTCCCCGTTCCTTAGCTCCCCGCAGCAGGCGGCGGGGAGGTGAAAAGCAGCCCGAAAACATGCCTGAGAGCTGAGGTTTGGCGCTCATCAGCTCTGCCCTGCTTCGCTGCCTTCCGGCTCCTCCGCGCCGCCGTGCCCGCCTCCCTCCACGCCCGCCCTTTCCGCAGGGCTCGCTGCGGGGTCCCGGGCGTGCCCGGCCTCGGGGGCGCGCAGCGCGGTGCCGCCGTGCCCGCGCCTCTCCCCGCGCCCGCGCTCGGTGGAGCTGTCCGCGGCTCGTGGTGCTGAAGCCGCAGCGGCCGCCCAGCCCTTTCCTCCGCCCCCCTCCCTTCTTCCCCGGCGTGGGCTCTTGCAGGCAGCCGGCAGCCTGGGGCATCAAAGGCTGGGGAGGGCCCCATTCCTCCCTTTGATTCTCCCCCCCACCCCACCCCGCCTTTTTGCTTCTTCCTTTTTTTTTTTTTTTTTTTTTTTTTTTTTTTTTTTTTTAAGCCGGGGGAGGGAGGAGAGCGCAGCCACGTTACACCCCTCCCTTCCTGCAAATCCCCGCTTGCACTGCAAACAATCTGCCTTCCCCATTGCATCCAAGGGAGATAGCAACAGCAACATCATCACTGCAAGCCGGATGGGAGCGCAGAGAGGAGGCTGCTGAGGGAGAAAGGCACACACGCACACACCAGCTCGATGTTGCCAAAGCGGCAGGAGCCGCACGAAAAATAAGCCATGCTGCTCGGTGTGTCTGGCGCATTGTGCTCTATCAGAGCCTTTTAGGAGGAAGAAGAGAATTACCCACACCGATTTTTTTTTTCCTGCCTGCGAGAGTGCGACAGACTTGCGATGGTTGAATGTCAGTGCCTATGAGAGAGAACAACAGTCAGAGGAGGAGGACTGAAGGGGAGGAAAATGAAGGTGGGGATGGTGGTGAAGAGAAAGAAGCACCCTCATCCAATGCATCAAAAGGAAGTCCCTGCAATTGCTGATAGAGCTCTGGCTGCCTCACCATCTACAATGGTCTGTACAAGCTGCCAATGCGTTTGATGACGTTCATGTTTTGTGAAAGGAGGAAAGGAAACGTGACCATGTAAGATCCACGTTTCTCCGGTCAATTACATGCGAAGAATAGGTCTGATTTTGACGGTTCTTTTTTTTTTTTTTTTTTTTTTTTTTTTTTTTTTTTTTTTGGTCCAGGTTGGTAACTGCCTAGGGAATAATACAGCCGCCTTCCCTCACCAGTTTTGCTCTGATGTTTTTAAATTTTTTTTTTTTAATTTATTTTTTGGTGTGGTCCAGACAGCTGCTGGAATAGAGAAGGTCAGAATATACAAATACGTATAATATATATATGATATATATGATATATATTATATATATAAATATATTTATCTCAGTACATCTGAGATTAAGCTCATTGAATGCTAATTATTTCTTTCAGGACTTTTAATATTTACAGTGAAATCTTTTAAAGGCAACAGTACATTCTGACGCCACCTGGGAGTACAGTGTTGGAGACGTAGGGTGTTTTCCCATAAACAATGTGAAGGTCTTTTTGTTAAAGAGGCAATTTTGATATTAACAGCAGCTACCCATTTTGCATTTTGATAGCCAGACCGGCTGCTATTTTGTTCGGGTACACATCAGGTCTCGTGCGACTGAGTTTTATTTTATAATTGAAAAAAAAAAAAAGAAAAGAAAAGAAAAGAAGAAAAGGAAAATTACTTGAGATGCCAAATACTGTCGAGAGGACCATATTCTCCCTCTTCCCCACACCCACTGGAGACGCGGACCCTTCTTTTTTACAGGCTTAGAGTCGCCGGAGCCGAGCTGGGCTCCCTCCGGAGCGCCGCACAGCACCGTGCCCGCGCCCCCGGACCCCGCGGCGTGGGAGATTTCTTCCCTCCTCCCGCTGATTTGCAAACAAACTTGTGGAATCCGCCCCGTCCGAGGGGGAGGGGGATAAAATCCCCCCGGAGAGTAGAGTGGGTTTCGGTTTTTTTTTATATTATTGCAAGATTTCAGCGGGCTGCCGGGGATCTCCCCCTTCTCGCCCTCTTTTGTCGTTTCTCGGCCGGCCAGCGCAGCCCCCCCGCAGCACTGAGGTCTCAGCAGAGCCCCCCGGCCGCGGGGCGCCCGGCTCCTGCCCTTTCTTTCCCACCTCATCCCCGCCTGTCAAGGAAAGGCACATGTTAATACCACCCGGCGCGGTCATTTTCTGTTACTGCTGCTGCGGGCTCCTCCGTCCGAGACAGATGTTGCGAAACCAAGGCCTCCTCAAGTGCCGCTGCCGCATGCTCTTCAATGACCTGAAGGTCTTCCTGCTGCGGAGACCCCCCGCGCCGCCGCCGCCCTCGCCGCCGCCGCCGCTTCCCATGCCCGGCGGCGCAGAGGCGGGGGCCGGCGGCGCCGCTCCGCTCGGGGGGCGCGGGCCCGGCTGGCGGGCGGCGGCGGCGGGCGGCGGAGCGGGCAGCCCGGGAGCCGAGGAGTGGGGCAGCCCCGCCGGGGAGCCGCCCGCCTCCCTGCCCAGCAGCACCTCCTCGGATGACTTCGGCAAGGGCAAGGCCGAGGACCGCTACTCGCTGGGAAGCAGCGTCGATAGCGGCATCCGCACCCCGCTCTGCAGGATCTGCTTCCAGGGTCCTGAGCAGGTGAGGCCGTACGCGGAGGTGGGTGGTGGGGTTGGATATTGGCTCGTCCGGAGCAAAAAGGAGATGGGAACGCTCTCCCTCAAGCGGAACGGCCCCCAGGGGAAGAGAAGATGGGGATGCTCACTCCTAACTTAGAATGGCCCCAGCCCAGTGGGCTCTAGAGATGGGCATGCTCTCCCTTAACCAGAATGGCCCCAGCCCAGGTGCTGGGCAGGTGTGGGGGCCAGATGTTGCTCAGCTTAACCGCAGCTGTGGTTCTTCATGGAAATGTTGCGGCTGTGCCCCTTGCAGCCCAGGAGCCTTGGCTCCAGGTGCCCATCCCTATGCTTACAGCCACGCAGGTGTGGCACAGCGGGGACTCACAGTCAGAGTGCATCTCAGCATGGGGGTCTCCACCCCCGAGAGGGTACTCAGTTGTTATGATGCCAAAAGGGATGCGAAGGATGGGGATCTGTTGTGATGATCTCAGAAGGGTGCGTTTAATGTGCTGTTGGCTTTTAAGAATACAACTCGAGTCTGTAGGAACACGTGGTAGAAAGCAACCCCACCTCATCAGCTGTGCCCACAGCAAGAGCTCTGCAGCTTTACCAGAGCTTCCATGTTCCCACTGCACTTGCTGGAGGGAAAAAAACTGCTGGCTCCAATTGTACCTGCTGAAGCAGCAGCCTTGAAATGCTCTGTGGTACAGACTGAGATTGGGCCAATGAAGTTTCCTTCCATCAGATGGGAGAATTGAATAAATGCAACCCCACTATAACATAAGATGCCACCCTTAGAGCATTATTCTTCCTCTTTAATAATTACAAGCAATTCACGTGTTTTCAAGCTGGGAACTTCCATGAAATAACATGCACAGCACAATTTGCACTTAATGTGATACAACTGCAGGCAGCAGGGAAGGCTGCAGATCTCTGCTTTTGTGATCAAACCCAGATATCCAGGGTAGCTCTGTGACAATAAGGGATGCTTGCACAAGCATGAGTTGAAGTTCAACTTAGCTGATACGCATTGCTATTTCAGGCAAAGATTGTGACACACAGGGCATATGTTAAAATCCTGAGCAAAGCAGGTTTTGCTCCATGTCTTCTTCCCTGTTTAAGGACCTGTGTGCTTTGCCAAGGAAAGCCATTGTTCACCTGAGAGCAGCCACATTCAGGAACACATCCTGCCAGTCCCAGGGCATGATGCACTGTGCTGGGCAGTGACCGTGCCTACCACTGTGTCAGTGGTAGTGGTTCACAGAGGGGGCAGTGGGCTTGCATTTATCTTCGGGAGAAGCAGGGCCTACCATGGACTCATCTGAATGCCCTCATGTCCTCCCCATCAGAGCTAGGTGCTCAGTAGACTGTAGCCTTCTCTAACACTTGTACAGCTGATTAATAGCCACAAGACACAGTTCTCACTGTAGGATTTTAGGTGAAGGTTGGGGTAATCATTGCTTTTTGGAGATGCTTTATGTCTTCCTCACTTGACTGTCTCATCCTTGTCTCTTCTAAAAGTTGGAAGCTGAGCAGCTCCCTGCCTGGGAATTTGCATTATTCCACGTTTCTAGTACTCTTCTCTGGCTTACAATTCCGCCTGTGTACAGGAGGCGTAGCGCCGCATGATCAGTGTGTGTGTGTGAGCAAATAGAGCTTAAGCAGAATTAAAACAGAAGTAACCTGCTTCCTTGGCAAACATCAACGCTGCAAAATAATTGGATGCTAATTTTCATGCTTAAAGACTGTGTAGCTTGCATTGTAAAAGTGGGACTGTTTGCTGACCATCTGCCAGCCTACCTGAGTGAGAAGCCAAGCAGATGTGACTGGCATTTAATAGAATTTCTCTTTTTCTCTTCTCACAGTTTCTGACCAATATAATAAGACACTTACAGCTGGATTCTGTCTGTCACCCCTCAGTAGTACCTTATTCTGCAAATAATTTCTTTTTCACCAGCATGTCTTGAAAGCCTTAGCCCAGCTAAGACTTAGCACTGGTGAGCACAAGTCAATATGTGGGCCCAAGTCGGGAGTTGTAAGGCATGGTCATATCCTGACACAGCTTTTTACAAGTACGGTTTGGAATGACTGAGACCTGAATCAATGCACTGATGTCAAGACCTGCAGTTTGGTTTGTTTGGCCCTCACATCCATGAAACTCCAATGGTCCTAAATCATAGAACGGCTTAGGTTGGAGGGGACCTTAAAGATGATCTAGTACCAAGCCCCTGCCATTGGCAGGGCTGCCAACCACTAAATACGCTGCCTGAATTCTACATTCTTACTCACTGAGGTGGTTGTTACTGATTTAGTATTTATTCTCCATTTGTTTTCCAGCTGAACAGCTGAGCAAAGCCTCTTTTTCAGACGCTTGCAGCAATAGATGCCATAAATGCACGTTATTCCCTACCACCCTTGCCAAGATCATCATGAAAATGTATCCAATTGGAAAGAAAATGCAATTGCAAGTTCTTTACTGAGCAGATTAATAACAATGGCAGAAATAAATTGTGTTTTATTTACCTGTCAGAAATATCTGAAACTGCTGCAGCTGTGGGCAAATTTGCAAGGCTGCATCACAGTACCAAGAACAAAAGCCTTCATTATAAATTGACTGTTAGGCGCTTTAAGCTTATTTACTCAGATAAAATGACACTGAGTCTTTAAAAGATGTTTAATCCTGTTTTGATTTTTTTATATATATATGCAGCAGCCAAAAAGGTTTCTTACTAATCCGGCTTCGCAAGTGGGTTTTATTTAATATCTAATGCGAAGCAAAATCTGTAGGGATTTTCACTTTAAATTTGTGATTGCCCACTAAGCACAATACTGTGGGCTACTGAATTGCTTCTATCTTAAGCTCCTCATGTTTGTTTGTGGCTCTTATGAGTAAACTGATTCTTTCATTATAAATGTGCTGAGCACTGTAGGAAGGAGTAAAGCTCACTATTGTAGAACCAATCCTTGCAGGTTATTCAGGGAAAAAAAATAATGCAGACAAGAATGAAGGGACCTGGTGCCCAGGTGAGCACAGCACCTCCCACTTCGAGGGCATGGAGAGAGTGCAGCTTGGGTCTGGCAGTTGAAAGAGACAACTGAATATACTGAAGATTGGTTTAATGTCATGAAAGCCAGTGAGCTGGACTGTACACTTGGCAATGGCGTTGCCTTTCAGAGACTGACTTGGTATTTTCAAAGGTTTTACATCCTGCACCATTGTGTCAGCTAGTTCTGAAACTGCAGATTGAAAGGCAGAGCTTGAGAGAGAAAGTGAGAAAGAAAGATTCGGGAGTATTTTCTTCTGTTTTAGTTAATGCTTCATGTTTGCAGAATCTTGTCTGCTTTCCTGGATCTTTGGCAACGTTCTGCAAGAGAAAGAAACTAAAGCGAGCTCTGCTTTCACATATGTTTCATTGTGCTTGGTATGGATCCAAGTTGAAAGCAAGTCATGGTGAGTAGCAGGAAAGTACATGGATGAGAAGTCCCTCTGCATCCGCAGATACAGTGTTTGCTCATGTCACAAGGAGTTAGCAGTATGGTAGCATTTCAGATTTCTGAGCTGGTGCTTGCTGTGCTGAAAATAAATAGAAAAGCATTCTTAGATGAAACTGAGATCATTTAGAAATCAGCGTCTCAAGGATTGCTTGCAAGATTCTGTCAGAGTGTGCATACATCTTTTCCTACCTGTCAGTTTCTGCCTGTGTTTCTCTGTTCTGAGGAAGAATTCTATAAAGGCGGAGATTTTAATAGCATGGATAGGACTGGTTGGCTAAGGAGGATCAGAGGGAACAGACTGTGACTTTTGCCAGCAGGCTGCTAGTTTGGACATAGCTGTGTACTCAGCGGAAAAGCTTGGGGAATAGATTTTTCTTCCACTAAAGTCCCTTCCAGATTTTAAGGAGACCGGCTCATTAACATGTGAACATGGAGACCTTTAAGGAAACTGGAAGGGAAGACAACTTATAGCGGATAGCAGGACATGTATTTCAAATGTCATAGGGCTGTGGAGCTCCCTTCTGCAGGACATTAGCAAGCCAAAGGACTTAACTACATTTAATACTGGTTGTAAAGCCGTGTGGATACCAAATCATGTCTACAGTCATCAGAATTAATTAAAGATAATGCATTTGAAAGTACAGTACATTCTTCAGGTCTGATATCAGTCTTGAGATCAGGAAAACTGAAGAGGAGCAGATCCTAAGGCTGGTCTATAGCCCCAGGGCTCACAGCTCCTTGCACACAACCAGTAAGACATGCATCTCCAATGCATGTTTAGATTTCATGCGCCTGTAAGGTAATGCAGGCACTTGCTGCCACAGTCAGAACCTGCCTGGAGCTAAGGTGGCCCTAAACGCATAGAGAACTCTCTCCTGTGTATCAGAACAGCCCCACCTGGCAATTCCTGGCTCATTCTTGTTCCACAGTCTGGATGAACAGACCATTCTTGATGGCTCCATGTAGTAGCAATGCATGTTGAGTACCACTGAATGGATAGTCCTTAGCATGTGCCACTGGAAATAACAGGTGAGAATCTCGAACTTGCTCCTGTTACAAACAAAGGCACACCCAGAAGCGCTCCTTAGCTTGCTGGTTCGTAGCACCTGAAGAGAAATCACAAACTATGCCAGGAAATATTGCTACTCTACAGACTGGTTTCTTCATAACACAGAGAAGTTCAGGAAATCACTGGGATGCTTGATTTTTGATTTACAGTGTTGTAAGACAAAGCAGAATTGGGTATCTCCTTTCTAGAGTAAGATAAAGAGGATAAGAGGCAGCTTGTGGCTGAGTTAGAAGCATAAATGTGATAAAGAGCAACTACACAAGTATCATTACAAGCAAGTGGAAAGGCAGGGAAGCTCAGGAAAGGAGATGCAGGTGTTTGGTGAGATCTGTGTAAGCTGGCTAGAACATTAGCACATTGTTTTCGAACATGTTGAATCACATAATGGCAATGCAGGCACCCCATCCCAGTACTTTTCATAGGTGTGTTCCCACACGGTTCATTTATGTGGTCTTAGA